GAGAGCTGTCTAAACTGTTTTCCCTAAAATTTAAGCTTTGACCGTTGACTAATATTTAAGAAAATCGTGACCACTGTAGACAACGACGACATCAATATTTCGATGAGGCTTGTTCTCCTCTTTCTAACAGCCGTGTGCTATTCCGTTAATCCAAATCGATCAAATTCGTTGACTGGGCACCCTACTAATAAGGTCGTATATATGTACAAAATAAATACAATCCCGCAGTACAGAATATTTAAAACATAAACGTTTTAATTTGATACAGAAAATGACATTACGGGCATGTCATATTTTTACCTTTGACAAATGGTCATCTCATAGTATTCAAAAAAATTGTTGCAATGTGAAGATGTATTCCAAAGAAAGGTTAAAATTGAGAATGGAAATGGGGAATGTGTCAAAGAGACAACAACCCGACCCAAAGGCAGAAAACAGCCAAAACATTAAAATACACTAAAATTAAAAAAACATACAACACTTACAAAGGCTAGAGGCTCCTGACTTGGGACAGGCGCAAAAATGCGGCGGAGTTAAACATGTTTTGCGAGATCTCAACCCTCCCCCTATACCTCTAGCCAATGTATAATAAACAAAGACACAGCAATACGCACAGTGAAACTCAGTTTAAAAGAAGTCTGAGTCCGATGTCAGAATAGGTAACAAAAGAAACTAAGCAAAATGACAATGATACATAGGTTAACAAAGGACTACTAGCAGTTACTGACATGCCAGCGTCAGACCTCAATTAAACTGATTGAAAGATTATGTTTATCTGTTCCGTGTCGTACTTGAAGATTTTAAAGTTATCGTTATCAACTGGCCAAATTTTAATAATATTTATGAAATGCTGCATACAATATATTTAAGGATGTTTGTAGTAGATACTAAAACGACACAATAGTGTTACAACTGGGAAGAACAGTGTCTTTCGAAGTATTCAACAATGAACCTCTACATAAAGTAAAGAAGTGAAAATGTTCTTTGAAATTCCAATTTGTATAGTCATCAAAAACGTTTCAAATGCACAGATATGGATAATGAAATCGTGTCTCGCAATTTTGGGGAGACAAACCAGGCTTACACTAGAAACAACTTATGATTATGACTTGATTATAGAATTAATAAGTAAAACTATAAATAAGAGCAGGAGGAATTAAGGACAGTACATTGTCTAAAATAACAATAATATACTTCATCACAAATTCGTTTGCATCTGATCTCAGAATATGTTTATTTTGAAAAGTAGAAGATTTCTATATAGATACAATGAGTAGTTTATTGACCATCTTCAGAAATCTAAATAAAGTATTCTAACGTAATGACTAGATGTACATGGCTGATAAATGATTTTTTGGTGAATGATAAAATGTTTCAAGAATTAAACATTTCAATATTCTGTACGAAATTTCACCCTTGCAATTTTATTTGCAAAGAAGCGAACATAGATCATGAATACAACAGACGGAATCGGATTATTCCCAATTTGAGTTAGACCAGGTGACTCGTCGGGGAAATAATTTACTGCCAGGAGTGGATCTTCCGTCAAATGATTCCAAAGTTACACGCAGTATGAAGTATGACCCAGTAATAATTAAGTATTACACCCAATATTAAGTATGACACTCAGTAATAGGTATACCACCCAGTACTGAGTGTAACAACAAGGAACATCACAAAATCGTTCATAATGTCGAACATTTTGAGTCTATCACGAAAATACTTATTGTGCTTCCCTTTTACGACAAATTATGATTTCGATAGGCAAAATTTTATGCGCACGTAAAATTGGTTTTACCACAGCATTATTATGAAATATAAAAAAGACCACCGACAATCACTGAGTAGTTGTGTAATTTGATTATTCTGTAGATTTGTTATCGTTTAATCGAAATGACTTTTTCAAGGTTACTTAAGAATGAATTAAAAAATACTTCCTTCTTTAAGGAAAATAAATATTAATTTCTTCCGCGTACGTAAAGAGCAAGGAATTAAAAAGCTACAAGTCACAGATTGACCTTCAACAATGAACATAATTGGACGTCTTGATCTTCATGCACGGACTGAGTGCTTCAGCTTATCGTTAAAAATCCCGCAACAACTACAAAAATAAAGACCAGAAATAATTGCATTGTTTCTGTGATATACTTTTATTTTCTGAAATTGAATTAATATTTTTTTCCAACGTATATTACATATAGCACATCAGTAATACAATATTAAATGATATGTAACATGTTGAACTGAGAGCACACATCAGTAATATAATATTAAATGATATGTAACATGTTGAACTGAGAGCACACATCAGTAATACAATATTAAATGATATGTAACATGTTGAACTGAGAGCACACATCAGTAATACAATATTAAATGATATGTAACATGTTGAACTGAGAGCACACATCAGTAATACAATATTAAATGATATGTAACATGTTGAACTGAGAGCACACATCAGTAATACAATATTAAATGATATGTAACATATTGAATTGAGAGCACACATCAGTAATACAATATTAAATGATATGTAACATGTTGAACTGAGAGCACAATAGCAGCTAATATTTCAATTAACTCTATTGACTCTTTTCAGATAGTTTAATTAAGTGTTTTTTTCAATATCATCATGTTTATGAATGTACATAAATTTTGTTTTTCAAATTGATGACGACTTGCTATCACAGTAACAGACATGTACAACCATTTTTGTTTCTTTGCACGTTATTAAAAACCCATTTAACAGCAGCAGTGAAAAACAGTTTTATAAAAGAAAATAACACTTCCCTTAGAAAATTTGGTGCGTCCGAAGCGCCTTTTGAATATACCTCTATCAGTAACGCTAAATAAAACCTTGGATGCATAAGTACTTAAATACGTGAAAATCTACATGACTAAAAGTGTCACGAATAGAATAGCAAAATACATTTAAGGTCATTATAACCTTGCCTGAGGAAGTTGGAATATTGGTTTCTAAATAATTTTGAATGTATCGGTGGAGAATTTAATATATGTTAAATTTGGAATTTGCTGATAAAATTGGGAGTCAAATATTAATTTTTCTTTACACGAGTCATATCATGCATTGAGAGAATTTAAATATACCTTAATGACTTTGAGTAATGACTATTAAAGTATTTTTATTTTTATAGAATTATCAACGTTTGAAAGTAAAAGAAAACCAGTTAATACTTTTTATTACGTACGGGACTGAAAACGAAACAGGGAAAGATACAACAAATTATTTATAGAAAAAAAAAAGATTAAATCAAGTCCACTTTTATAACTTTAAGGATGTACTTAGGTGAAATTAAAAAAATCTAGAATTTAAAATTGATACTATGAGTCAGAAGAGCATTAGTTAAGGAACAAAATAAGCTAAAAATATTGATAGGTTATGGAGCTCCTTTTCGAGATATTCATTTTTTTTAAAATGGCGGGTAAAGGCTGACTTGGACTTTTACCTTATATTTGCATTGGTATTAAATCAAAGCGAAAGAAAAAAATCTTGAATCTGCTTAAATTTTGGTAAATGATCTTTTATGAGCTATTGAAGTCTTATATGAAAAGAAAAATTAGTGTTAGGGGGCAAAATATTTTATACTGTATCGTAGGAAAAAAACCAAGGAGTCCGAACATCTGACAAAAATTCCTAAACCTGACCCAAGTACATCCTTAAGTATATTCAAACGTCTGTCATACACTTATCCGATAATACCTTTTAACCCGGTTATTTACTCTAACGAAATACTTTTATCCTGGAAATTTCAATTTTATCAAGTAAATATTAACTTGACTGTCGTTTTCTACAGTAGTTTGTTCAAATTTATAACCAGTTGATCAGTTTGCTTTGATAAAATAAATGGCGATTTGGTCAGAATTTTGAATAAACTGCAATAGGTAAGAGCAACGCTTACAGTCAAGTCACAGTAAAAGTGTAAATACATATGATGTTAGCAGAAAAAGCGTTGACTGAAGCACATTTTGGATCTTACTACAAATGTGTGCACGTTCCACGCTATAACAACCCTATACATGATAAAAAGGAAGCATCAAATTCTTATAATTTCATTTTTGTGCTACAACCATAAAACTACAAGTTATTTAAAGTTTGGCCAGAATTTTGAATAAACTGCAATAGGTGAAGAGCAATGCTTCCAGTCAAGTCACAGTAAAAGTGTAAATACATATGATGTTAGCAGAAAAATCGTTGACTGAAGCACATTTTGGATCATCTTACTACAAATGTGTGCACGTTCCACGGTATAACAACCCTATACATGATATAAAGGAAGCATCAAATTCTTATAATTTCATTTTTGTGCTACAACCATAAAAAGTTATTTAAAGTTTTTAATCTGTTTTCCAGTGCATTGTTGTGACGTTGTCATGGGAAGCACGTACAGTCATGAATGCTGCGATTTTTGAATTCTATTAGGAAATAAAATTTATATTTTTGGAATGACTTGCGATTCTTTTCTGTTTATTATATTTAAGAATATTAATAAAACATACATGTATTTTAAATTTATATATCTTTTATAAAAAGAAAATTCGATTATCTCCAATTTGACATTTAAATCCGGGATGATGATCCTTTATGAACATCATCAGGTAGTGTATTACAACTGTGCAAATTATCATAAAACATCTGACTTTAAAATGGGATTGTGCTTACATTTCAAATGGACGGACAAACAGTGGGACTCACATAGATACAACTCAATATTTTGTTTGCGGGGATATAACTATTTCTTTCCATTCAATATAACAAAAATGAAAATGTTTTCGAACTTAAAAACTGAAAGATTCTTAAAGGAAATCAGATTACATTTGGGTTTAATTTGTCAATTTCTATTTTTTTAGTGGATTCAATATTTGATATTCATTTATGTATTAAAATATGTTGTTTTATTCTTAAATAGTTATAATCATTAAAAACTGTGATATCCATAAAAATACATTAATATATTTCCAGGATGAGAGTAAAATACATTTCCGCGTTAAGGGTTATTCTTAACCCAGTTAAGTGTATGAGGTATGACAAACATCTCATTGATTCCTTCGAAATGAAAGCATCAACAAGAACACAAAAATTCGTTCTATATAGATAAAAGGTAAGTAAATTTAAGTTTTTAGATAAAAAAAAAAAAAAAAAAAAAAAAAAAAAAATATATATACTTAATTGTTAAACAGAATAAAAAAATAAAACTACAAACATTGATCATAGTTACTTTCAGTTTCGGTTATCAGCTGTTTCCACACATGATACTTAAAATGTCGAGAGAAGTTAACTTTTACAGTAGTTACTTTCTTCCTTTACGATAAGGGTCATTATAAAGTTCATAAGTGCGTTACAAAGATATGGCTATACTGTAATAATGTCATGACAGCTTATGTACTTAACAGTAGAAAATATCTCAGAAGTTTGTTTTTCTTTAGTACTTTTCTTTCTTTTTAGAGTATCACAAAATTACTTTTATTCTGTGGAATATGTACAATTAAGTAATCCTTGAAGTTCGTTATTGTTTTAACCCTTCAAATAATAAAATTATTTTTTTTCCATAGGCAATAAAGAATATGGAAAACAAAATGGAGGCAATGGTATGATATTTCAAAAATTTAAGATATGTTGTTCGTTATAGATCAGAACAATGTCAGTGTGAAATCGTCGATGACTTTAAGCTCATTACAAGCTATTTGCAGTGTGGTTCAATGCATACACACAATAATAAGAAAATAAGTGTACAATAGATTTTCGAGTTTGAACAATAGAAATGTAAAGTGTATTATTTTTAATTTTAGTTTCTTGTGTACAATTTGGAATTTAGTATGGCGTTCATTATCACTGAACTAGTATATATATTTGTTTAGGGGCCAGCTGAAGGACGCCTCCGGGTGCGGGAATTTCTCGCTGCATTGAAGACCTGTTGGTGACCTTCTGCTGTTGTCTGTTCTATGGTCGGGTTGTTGTCTCTTTGACACATTCCCCATTTCCATTCTCAATTTTATTATCTTTCAAATATCAATTTGTTAAGATTAAATGATATAATTTATGGGTATCTATATTACTTACTTTGAGGAAAACGCGTGACTCAACCTGCAAAAAATAAAGTCAAGATTTTATTGGTTTTCTTCCATTTGCGCACAACCTCTAGATCCTGTTTACAATGTAGGTCCTTTTTTTTTTTATCTTACACCTCTTTAACTGTGTCGGTTCTTATAATCCTTGGCTTTTAAATTTTCGGCTTTGAGCATTCCTGATGAAGGTTATCCAGAAAAGTGTTTCGGATGCATCAAATTTATAACTTGTTGCTTTATTTTTAACAATGAAGACATTTTGCTAAACGATATCTTAAAAGATATTTTAGGAAGCTGTAACTTACAAATTCTGACAATGAATTATAATCAAAATGACCATTTAAGGTAAAATCTGTCAATTTTGACGGATCTATATCATAGTGACATATCAACTGACATGTCTTCAGAACAATGTACAGTGTTAAGTATCTTTTTAAAAAGAGTGTTCTTTATTTCTGGCAATTTAAGGGACCAGACATTGGCTGTTATAATATACCCCTTATAGTGTTGATGATTGCAAATCTGTCCATATTCGACTCATAGTCCAAGCAGGACTTGAAACTCGTAAAATGTTAATTAATCGTCTAATTGAGACTTGACTTATGTTGGACTTTTGATGTTTGACCTTTTCGGATGAAAACCCCATTGTTGCCACAAAAAAGAAATTTCTCTGTTAACCGTTAGTTAATTTCAAGATTATGCCCAAATTACACTAGAACTTTTTTTTTATCAAAAGCAGGAATGAATGTGAAGTTAGCAGCCGGTTCTTTATTCGATATTCAATATCCAAACGGCTGCTAGCAGTCGGTTCGATATTCAAATTTAGTTGAAAATCATAAAAATTAAAACATTCGATAACATTAAACAATGTTAAAAGCATGATAGTCATAGTTAAAAGGAGTGAAAAGATATGTAGGAAATCGTTTTATGACCCCTTCAACCTATCGTAAATTCTCGTTCTCAAATATAAACCCTTATATAAATCGCACATTTGTCTTTATGAAATTTAGATTTTTATCAATAAAACGACATCAAAGATGTACTTTTATATATAATATTTCTAGAAAAAAAAAAAAAAAAAACGATCACTCTAGTAACATTTAAAAATATAAATAAAAATAATTATGGAAAGCCAAAAGAAAAAAGAAATATATAATGAAAACCTACCGGAGACCGCTTAAATGACGGTGAGACCCCCCTGATCTTTTAATGTCCATAAAATTCGAAGATCTTTTAGACTATGTAAATATACAGATGGTATCAAAAGGATTTTCCAGAATAATGTCATCTTCGATATCTACGGAGGGCTTAAATTGTCATTTTTCAGCTAAAATTCGTCGAAAATTCAGGTCAAAGGGCACAGGGCGATGTCTAGACCCCTCTGATCTCTCAATCTTCCTAATATTATGCAGATAGTTAGTTAATATAAAGATACAAACGAGACCAAAAGGAATTTGGGTAAACTTCTTGTCTTCTATGTTTACGGAGGGCTGAAAGTGCCAGTTTGATATTCAAAATATATAATGAAAACCTACCGGAGACCGCTTAAATGACGGTGAGACCCCCCTGATCTTTCAATGTCCATAAAATTCACAGATCTTTTAGACTATGTATATATACAGATGGTATCAAAAGGATTTTCCATAATAATGTCATCTTTGATATCTACAGAGGGCTTAAATTGTCACTTTTCAATTGGCTCAAAACTGGCACTTTAAACCCTCCGTAAACATAGAAGACAAGATGTTTACCCAAATTCCTTTTGGTCTCGTTTGAATCTTTATACTTAGTAACTATCTGCATAATATTAGGAAGATTGAGAGATAAGGGGGTCTAGACATCGCCCTGTGCCCTTTTATCTGAATTTTCGACGATATTTAGCTGAAAAGTGACAATTTAAGCCCTCCATAGATATCGAAGAAGACATTATCCTGGGAATTCCTTTTGATACGATCTGTATTTGTACATAGTCTAAAAGATCAATACATTTTATGGACATTGAAAGAACAGGGGGGTCTCGTCGTCATTTAAGCGGTCTCCGGTAGGTTTTCACTATAAATTTTGATAACCACTCTGGCACTTTGAGCCCTCCGTAAATACAGAAGACAAAAAGTTTACCCAAATTCCTTTTGGTGTCATTTGTATCTTTATATTAATTAAATATCTGCATAATATTATGAAGATTGAGAGACCAGGGAGGCCTAGCCATCACCATGTGCCCTTTTATCTGAATTTTCGACGAGTTTTAGCTGAACAGTGACAATTTAAGCCCTCCGTAGATATCGAAGATGACATTATCCTGGGATATCCTTTTGATACGATCTGTATAAATACATAGTCTAAAAGATCATTCAATTTTATTGACATTGAAAAACCAGGGGGGTCTCATTATCATTTAAGCGGTCTCTGGTAGGTTTTTACTATACATTTTGAATATCAAACTGGCACGTTGAGCCCTCCGTAAACATAGAAGACAAAAACTTTACCCAAATTCCTTTTGGCGTCATTTATATCTTCATATTAACTAACTATCTGCATAATATTATAAAGATTGAGAGATCAGGGAGGTATAGCCATCGCCCTGTGCCCTTTTACGTGAATTTTCGACGATTTTTAGCTGAAAAGTGACAATATCTTTTTTTCGGGGCTTTCCAAAATTATTTCTATTTATAATTTTAAACATTACTAGAGTGATAGTTTGTTTTTATTTCCAGAAGTAGCAGGTATAAAAGAACATCTTTGATTGTTTTTTATTGATAAAAATCTATATTTCATAAAGAAAAATGTGCGATTGATAAAAGAATTTACGAAGCTTGAAGGGGTCATAAAACGATTTCCTACATATCTTTTTACTTCTTTTAACGATGACTATAATGCTTTACATGTTATCGAATATCTATTTTTTTTTGTTTTCAACTAAGAAATTTGAATATCGAACCGACTGCTAGCAGCCGGTTGAATATTGAATATCGAATAACGAATAACGAACCGGCCGCTAACTTCACATACATAAAGCAGGATATTGTGAAACTTCTATTATAAATGGAAAGCGTTATATAATTTGTCCTTTATTTAAGGTCATTGCTATGAAACGCACCATATATGAATTAAATAAAACTCAAGCAGAAATATTGGACAGAATGACATCAAATAGGTATGCTTCTGCAATTTTGTGCATTTTTAGAGATATATATTCACCTTTGTTTGCTTTATATGATAAAGCTTTTAATGCAGAATTAATAGATTTTCATGTATTAGAAAATATGTCTTAAAATAAGGTCTAGTATAATTGCACACACTATTAATTTGCCTGAAATTCTTAAAAGACACTTATCTTTTTATACTTTTAAAGATATTGTATGCAACTGTTTTGTTGTTTTATCTTGAACTGCCAGGTGTTCTACTTCTACCATTTAAAAAAATCATCACAGAAAGTAGGCTTATAACTGCGTACGCCAGACGCGTATTTTGTTTACATCTCAAACAATTCAAAGTTTTAATTTTGTAATTGACCATCGTTATTAGGTTTACTATTACGTCACTTTTGGATGTTCGCGTTAACCTTTGAGGAATTAAAACAAATGTGTTATACATTTGTATAATGATGAGAAAAAAAAATCATACGTCGATTTATTTGTTTCGTAAAGTTAAGCCTTTTGACGAACACACGAGTAATGAGCAATGAGAGGCTATTATCATGTTTTACCTATACATTTAAACGAATTCGCTGCATTAAACATTAGTTTTGCAAAAGTCAATGTTAAATATCAATTAAATCATATGATACACAAGTGATATATTTTGAAATCTTTGCATTTGGTAAAATTCAATATAAAATTCAAGTGTATGTAACTGTTCATTAAGTTTAAATTAAATGTTTTAGCACGAGTAGAACTTCAATGCTGGCTGTTGTCTCAAACGAAATAACACGTAAGTATATTTTAAAATATATCAACGACAAAATGTGGATTCTGACAATTTTAGTATAACCTTGTTCTTTCTCAATATTTAAACATAAATTTCATTGCTAGGATCTAATAACTGTGTTCTAATACATTAAGTAAAGTCAGAGTTTTTAATTCTTTTTGCGTTAATGACTTTTTGGCGGGAATGTAATTCACATGAGAACAAAAAGGTCAATATTTTGCTTTATTTAAGAGAAAAAACATAATTTTATCTGAACATTCATAATATACTCTGATAAGATATATGTTTTTAGAATTGGAAGAACATGTTAGTCGAGTAGAATCTGACACTCGGTCCATTGAATATACCAACAATCTTGACAATGTTACAAAGCAAATGTCCAACTTGTTGATGAAAGTTAACAGATTAAACACACTTGCAGTAAATCTACAAAAAACGACAGCCTTTGATGAGAATAGTGGTAAAGATGGTTCTACTGTAATTTTGAGTGAAGATGAATCTGTGTGTTTCTCAAATATACTAGACAGAAATGCATTCGGAAAGAAAGATAATATACCATCTAGTGAAAATTGGGAAGAATTTGAAGAAGATAATATCGAATATAGACTAGACAATGAATGTTGTAGCGGTGACGCTAATATCCACAACCTTTCAAACTATATGAATGGTAGGACAGTACAACTACTGACACACAATGCAATAAATAATGAATCCAATACCATCCATAACGAACCTCTTGGAGCACAAAACGATACGAAAAACATTAATAAATTGAGAGAAGGTAGTGATAACGTTAAAGTTCAACAGTCTTCACTATTAAACAACAGCGGAGATGAAAATGTCGTAAATGAAAATGAAAACGGACAAGACAACCCATTATGTACATTAAACAAGGAAGTTGATAATAAAGATTTACCTGAGATTGAAAATTGTAACATATCAAATTCAGAAAGCAGGATTCATAAAAATGAATCTGGCTATAAAAGTAAGGGACCGAAAACACAAAACGACAATCGCGTTAGCTTTCATAATAATCAGGAAAGTTTTAAAGGGGATATAGATAAAAGCCTTCCCAATATGGACGTTCAAATAGAAGAATCGATTGTACCCAATATAAAACCGACAACACACAATAGTGTTGACGAAAGACCTATGATGACGTCTACAACATCGTAAGTATCAGTACAAAATATCTCAAAAATATTCATTGTTAAATATATTGCTATATGATACTTCTTTTGATTAAATTTTTTCGTCTTAAGTTATAATCAGCTTTCTGCTACAATAGCGATTTTTTTGGAATAACCTTTAACAGGTACGCTCGAGACCGAAAATTTGAAAGCCAAAATGTACAACGTGTGAGAGTAAAAACCAGTATATTCTTACAAAATGTCAGGACACTCAAGCTGTATTAAAAGATGTGGGAAAACGTCGATATTGTAACATTTTGGTATTATTGAATTATCTTTCATAAAATTAACCCTTAGTTTCAGAAAAAAAATGATCTGATCCTATGTTTTCCTAAGAATCAAGAGTTATACTTACAAACAATGATTTAATTTGAAACATATCTAATAAGGATGTATTGTAATTGCTATACAGTTATGAACAATGTTTGGCCTATATCATGTCGATAATTATATTTGGCATTGCAAACGGTCATGCTTTTCTTATTCTGTTTATGACGTCGTTACACTTATTCCGTTGGATGTGTACTATTAGTTACACATTGTGCTAGTGACCTAATATGATATATATTGGGTCATTAAATTCCATATATACGGTTCACGCAAAGCGAAGCTCGAACCCCATATAGAATTTACTGACCCCATATATATCATATTAGGTCACTAGCACAATGTGTAACGTTTTTATCTTACCGACTATCTTAACATGTGGCATTTAGACTAATTGATCAAGTCTTCAATATAAAGAACCTACTTCCATTAGTCTATACAAAAACAAATGCCAACAATAACAAGAGAGGCGAAAGATACCAGAGGGACATTCAAACTCATAAGTCGAAAATAAACTGACAACGCCATGGCTAAGAAAGAAAAAGACCAACAGACAAACAATAGTACACAAAACACAACATAGAAAACTAAAGACTGAGCAACACGAACCCCACCAAAAACTTGTTAGCTTTAATGTGTTTTCTGCATTTATTTGAATCGGTCATTATTAATTTCTTCGTCTGTTGTTCGAGCGAAACGTTTCAGATTTTCCCTCAACGCCGTGTTTTTTTTATAAAGGGACGTAACATCACTACTAACCGTGTATTAAAATAAACCACGCCTACTAATCCCATATTAAATATACACAGTAGCCACGCGGTCGTTTTTAACCAATTATATTCATAGAAATGTATAGGAGTTAAGATAATGATTGATATTTTATTCTTGTAAGATTTGTTTCATTTGGTAGTTGTATTGGTCTTTCAACTAGAGTGTTAAGTAACTACTAGTTTCTTAGTTCGGTAATTTGTTTCTTTTGTTTCGTTTGTTTCGTTTGTTTTTTTTGTTTATTGCTTTTGTGTTCGTGGTAATCAGATGAGTCAAACCCTTTGCAACTGGTTTTTACATTAGCATAGCTGTTCTACCACTATCCCTGGTCGGGGGATGTTCATGCATCTAAAAAAATATTTAAAATCGCCACATTATTTATGTACTTGTCTCGTAACGTAAGTCAAAAATTAGTAAAATATTAGTTGCTGCATGCAATATTTGATTTTAGTTTTATGTTTTAGCATTAACAAAAAATCATGGTTTTTGAATTGGTTCACAGTTTATCTTGGTTTTTTTTCTCTCATGGTTGAAGGTCCCCAGTTGTGTCCATAGAACATTCCAAGTTGTCTTCAATATATTCTATTTTATCGATCAGATAATGCATAAGTCTTTGTCTGTTGAACAGTCCGATGTGTCTCTCTGATGGACTGTCCAGTATGTCTTTATAGACGTTCCGATTTGTAATTTTTATAAACGAGTTGTCTTCGGGTTGTGCTGCCTTGTACTTGGGCCTGGCTGGGCTATGTTTTAAAGTTTGTGAAGTGTTCCAGTATGGCGTGACTAGTGGCAAGATAAATAATTTTGTTTTCAAGAAGAGCCTGAAAATATTTTACGTATTATGTCTTGTGCATGAGCAAATGTTGAGAAGCATTGAGCTTAAATGAATTTATTTTCATGATAACTCTCGAAAGATTTTAACTTGGTAGTATTTAGAAGGTGCTCTGGCTGTTTGAAAAATAATTACTTGACAAGCAAAGAAACCAGAATCTTAATATATAACTCAATTGCCCCTTTCACTTAAGAAAAGAAAAACAAAACAAACAAACACATAAAAAAAAAACAAAAAAAAAACAACCAATAGCAAAAAAATGGCATAAATTTAAAAGATTGTTCTTATGTTGTGCTGTTAGTTACACCACTGTCTAATGGTTAGGGGAGGGTTGAGCGCTCACAAATATATTTTACGCCTCTAAATTCTTGATGTGCCTGTCCCAAGTCAGGAGCCTGTACTTCAGCGATTGTCGTTGGTTCATGCCTGTTAAATTTGTTTTTCTTAAATTTTTTGGTTATAAACTAGACCGTTAGTGTTCTCGTTTGAGTTGTTTCACAATTGTCATGTCAGGGCCTATTATAGCCGACTTAGTTTTTAATTTCCAACGAGATCACTGTTCAGATTGCATTATGTAAAAGTGCAAATCGAGAAAGCGCCAAAGATGTTGCTGAGTGTAGATTGAGAAAACATTTTACAATGCTCTATATTGCTCGTTAATAGGATATGGACTAGTAGCTCTTTTATTTGTTATAACTGTAAAACAATGAACATATACTATTACATTTAGATACAATTCGTCCAGGCGATCAAGAAGAAGGAGAAGGGAGGAAGACATATTTGTTGAACGTATGTAGGATATAGTACTTATTTGACCAAAAACTAATTCATGTAATTAAGAAAAACTATGTTAGTTCGCCTATGCCTGTTCTCACAGAAGTATTTGTTTGTTGATAATGTTGCGTTTGATAAATTTGTGATTTATGCTGATATATTTTATGAAATTATTTTTCGAATGCATATTTTATATTGAAATTGTGTGAACGATTTGACTGATAATCGTTAAAGTTTTAGATGTCTCTTTTCCTTAGTTAAATAAATGTACTCAAATTTATTTGTAGGACTATTTCATAGTGATCAACCCAAAACTTTTAGAGAATGGTATCATCATTTCAGACAAGTGAAAGTATATGGTAAGTGTTTTGAAATCAAATAATCTTCTGTATTTTTAAAGTTATGGTGTATTTATTCTTGAGATAACTTATCTTATGTGTGCCACGTAATTCTCTCAATTTTAGGCCAGTTTGTATCCTTAAATTTAAATAAGATGTACACCACCTATTCCTCACTGATTCGTGTTGCTCAGCCTCGGTTTTCTATATTGTGTTTTATGAACTGTTGTTTGTCAGTTGGTCTTTTCCTTTTTTGCCATGGGGTTGTCAATATAAATAAGATGATGTGGTATGAGTGCCAATGAGACAACTATCCATCCAAATCACAATGTGTAAAAAGTAAAAAATTATAGGTCAAAGTACGGCCTTCAACACGGAGCCTTGGCTCACACCGAACAGCAAGCTATAAAGGGCCCCAAAAAGACGTGTGTAAAACAATTCATACAGGAAAACCAACGGTCTAATCTATATAAAAAACGAGAAACGAGAAACACTTATGAACCACATAAACAAACGACAGCAACTGAACAACAGGCTCCTGACTTAGGACAGGATCATACAAAATGCAGCGGGTTTAAACGTTTTAACAGGCGCCAACCTTCACCCTAACCTGAAACAGTGGTATAACATTACACTATAAAAAGACACACAATAAAATACCAATTGAAATGGCTTAACTCGATCAGAAAGACAATACACAAATATAAGTAAATATACACTGAACGAATAAGTTTGATCTAAGACACAATATAAATAAAAAGACAACTTTAACCTAGGACAAAATGGCGTTAAATAAAGTAACGTACACAGGTAAATTTAAATATAATAATTTTGTTGTTAGGAGTACAGAAACATTTTTTACAAAATAAATTTGTTATTCATAGTACAAGTACAGAAGTGAATTTTTTTTCGGCATACTTATCAAATGTGGTACATATTAAAAATAGTAAGACGAGATATAACACAAAATAAGTAAACATTGAATAACAGAAATGCATTACAAATTGTGTCAACAGGTCAAATAATACGAAAGTACGATTTGAGAGTACTCGCAGTTACTGAAAGCTAGTTAAAAACCTATTAATTATAAAAAATCATGCATCAGAGACTAAAATCAATTAAAACACATCAGGCAGGGATTTAGTGTTTTAACGCCATGGACAGTCAAAGAAGACTTGACTTGTGCAATGCCAAAATAAAAGTAACGACAGGCAGTAGGATAGTTAGGATTAAACCTTATAATAAATATGTATGATGTTATGTATATGTTGTGTACAAGTTATCATTTTGTACAAATTATAATTTGTACCAAAAAATTGTAATTTGTACAAAAAGTGCTTGTGCAAATTACAATTTGTACAAAATTTGACTAAAATTCACTTATAACTTGTACAATAATTTATAGTATTTATTTTGTTATAAAAAAGCATTGATACATACTATAGAATTTTTATTCAATGACTACACAATAGACCTTATTTACAAAATACAAAAATAGTTCAGTATCATTTGATTGAGCATGTGAGTGAATTATGGCTTTGGTAATTGCACAACATCTTTTGCTTTTTGCATTTACATTCAGAAGTGGTGCATCCCCCTTTGTATTTACATGAAAGAAACCCCTGACCACCAGTTTTTGAAAGCTTCTTAACTGCTTCACGTAGCGAAAGTTGAAGCTCAGAAACTGTTTCGGCGAATAAAGATGTGTCTTTAACAGCTTCAATTTGATTTCTCGACAAATATCCTGTTAAAATTCCTACAGCTGTTTCAATGCGGTATCCAAGTTCTCCAGATTCAATAATTACACTTAAGATATTTCGAGGATCAGTTGGGGCACGATCATATTGAGGAATTAGTATAATGACATTATCCCCCACTGCAAGTTCTGATTATTTCTGTTTTGGCTTGGATCTGTTGGCCAGACAGCGCACGCTTCCTGGCATGTTTGATTGGTGTTTTAACGTCAGCGTCATCCTGATTGTCACTGGGGCCAATTTCTATTGTACTATCACATTGTCATTGGGGCCAATTTCTACTATACTATTAGAATTGTCACTGGTGCCAATTTTTGTTATTCTATCACAATTGTCACTGGGGCCAATTTCTATTGTACTATCAGAATTAACTGGCATGCATGTATCAATTACATTTCCTGTCTCCATCTGGGTTCTTTTGTATTTTGTAAATAGGGTTTATTGTGTGGTCATTGAATAGCAATTCTGTAGTGTGTATCAATGCTTTTTTATAACAAAATTCATACTAGAAAATATTGTACAAGTTATAAGTGAATTTTAGTCAAATTTTGTACAAATTGTAATTTGTACAAGCACTTTTTGTACAAATTACAATTTGTACAAAGTCAAAATACAAATTATAATTTGTACAATTTTTTGGTACAAATTATAATTTGTACAAAATGATAACTTGTACACAACATATAGATAAAACAATTTCTAAATAGAAAATAAACATCCCAAAAAACCATTCGAAAAGAATACAAATTTAATTATGTTTTAATTTGTTGATGACAAAATGGATGTTAGTGCCAATGAAATCAATATTCAAAGATCTTATTACAACATTAATAAGATAACCTTTACTAATAAGTTTGTTCGATAAGTTGACGCGGATCACATAGTGATTTCCGCACTTTTAGTACAATATTACCGTAAAATTTAAGATGTGAAATACCATTTTTAATAAGTTTTCTACAGGTACAGCCAAATTAACTAATCAAATCTTAGTATCTATGAGAGAATTTAGTAAATGTTTTTAGTAATTTATGGTAACGAAATCCCTGACTTAATAATTTACCAGTGATACATTGATTACGTTCGTTAAAATCTTTGACATCATTACACACACGGGCATAACGAACGAGTTGGGATATATAAACACCGTATGATGAAGCCAAAGGAACATCGCCGTCTAAAAAAGGAAAATTAACAATAGGGAATGAAAAATCGTCTCTTTTGTCGTAATTTTTTTTATGGAGTTTCCCTTAAGAAATTGAAATGTCTAAATCAAGAAAAGGACAACAACTGCTGTTTATGTTAGATTTATTCAAAGTAAGTTCCTTTGTGTAATTTTCGGTAGTATGTTTAGAGAATTCTGGATTATTTAATGAAAAAAAATATCATCAAGATAACGGTAGGTATTGTTGAATGTATCAACTAAATGTAACAATGACGTGTCTTTTCTGAGTTTGGTCATAAACTGTGATTCATAGCAAAATAGGAATGAATCTGCGATTAAAAGGGGCGCAATAAGTGCCCATAGGAATACCTACTACCTGTCGATACATTTTATCGCGGAAACGTACAAATATGTTGTCCAGGAGAAAATTTAAAGCTTCAATCATATCTTCACATTTCCAGTAAGTGTATCTAGCATACTTTCCTTTTCCGTTACAGAAAAAGGCTTTCAACGAGTTACAGCAAATAAATTCGCAATGAGAATTTTCAAAAGACCATTTAATTAAATATGAAAACTTTTTCTTGATAAGATTGTGTGGAAGTGTAGTGTAGACAGTAGAAAAATCATAACTGTCAACAGAATTAAAAGGACCATCAAAAGCACGTATTTTATCTAAAACCTTTTAAGAATTTTTAACACTCCATAAATAATTTATAGCATTATTTTCATAAACTTTATTACAAAAGTTAATAAGTTCTTTGATAGTAGCAAGACAGGTAGTTAGAAGCACTGACAGATAAGGAGTAGAACACTTACTAGATGCAGAGATGAAACGAAATTTAAATGGTTGTTTGTGTAATTTAGGTAACCAGTACATAGTCGGGACTTTCAAATGTTCGGAAGAGGCTTTAAGCTGGGTAGTGGCATTGATATGCTTGTTTACAACTTGACTCTCTGTGGAGCGCACGGACCTGAATGTAGAAAAATTGATAACTTCGTTTTGGAGAACTTCCGTGTAGTATATGTGTCACACCACCACTACATTATTGGCTGCTTTGTCTGCCGGTACGAACACAAACCGCTTTGCGAGTATTTGGAGTTTATTTTTCATTCTGGAAATGGGTATATCATGAACAATATTATTAATTTCAGAATTGTTTTCAAAATGAGATATACGAATATCAACAGTATTCATAATTTTATTCAAATTACAGTCAAGAGATTTTGTATCAGATTTTTCACGTTTACACCAATTTTTACAGTAGGCAGACAGAGCGTCTTTAATGACCTGACGACACTGTTTCCAATATATAATAGATGGAGGACGATATTGAGTTCCTTTCTTAAGAAAAGTTTTGACCTCACGGTCTTCAACGATATTGAGATCTCCTGTAATGACATGACATAAAGGAACATATCTAAAATTAGATGTTTCACAGTCTCAAGTGTAAGGAGCAATATTTTCTATATTAACGTCTAATGTTACTGACGTATAATTAAAAATCAAACTTCTGCTGTTTTTTTTTGTACGAATACGAAATAATAGGGGGTTCTGTATTATCAAAATATGGAGGAATTTGGCTATGGACGGTAGAGTCAATGAATATTCTAGATAAGTTAATAAAATCAATACCTCTGTTTATATATTTTAATTTTAAAAAATGTCGTTTATGATTTTCAGGTTTATCGATACTAGGAAACAGCCTGTGATGACAAAAGGCTGTAATAATACGGGTGTATTCATACAACGGGCTGAAAAACACTCCAGAAAAATATCATATAGTTTACTTATTGTATATGACCAAGTTTGCATAGTATTTGATGTCTACCATTTTTTTTATTATAGATAACAGATCAGCAAGTGTACAATTTATACGATGTTTAATACGTAGATTACGGTTTCAGTTTATTTTTCTACTTATGATTTTGAATGTCCCTCTGGTATATTTCTGATTTAAAGCTTCAGTTAGAGTAAGATCAGGAGTAGTCAACCAGGCAAATGGACATGATGTTATTTTGGTAATAGATACATCTGAACGTATGTCAGAGTATTTCCAACAGTTGAAATCAGCTGCTTTACAGTATGTTTACGGTGAGTTAAAATAAATAACAGGAAAAGCGGAATTTGAATTAAGTACAATAAAATACTTAGTGAAATCATATCAGAAAACCCAAATCCTAAACACTACATAGTATTGATTGAAATAGGAAAAGTTCATTTAATGTCATTTTATATAATCCATAGACAACTTTTACGGACGCCATCACGAGTTGGAATAACTGTTTCACATATGACAACGGATATGTTTTAATTATCGAAACCACAATCTTGTCCTGTTTTCCTCAAATGCGACCTACGGAATTGGACTTATCACCGGGATTGCACTTGCGTGAGTAACACAACGAGTGTCACATGCAAAGCAGGATCTGCTTCCGAAGTACTTGAGATCACCCCGGTTTTTGGTGTGGTTTGTGTTGGTCAGTCTTTTGCGTTCGATATTGGGTTTTGTATAATGTTGTTTGTCTTTTGGTTGTTTTTCGTTTTTTTACCATGACATTGTCAATTCCTTTTTCGACATATGAGTTTGAAAATTCCTTTGGCATCTTTCGCCTCTTTAACCGATCGACTCACACTGTCTCGCTCCCTTTGGAGTTCGTGCAATTCCCTTAGTGTTTGTTTGTTACCTTGATGTTGTATTTCTCAATCATTGTACCAGATTGGAATATCCGTAAACTATTGTCATCTTCCTAAGCATATACTAAACAATAAAGAAATAAAAAAAAAAAATGTTGATTTTTGATGGACTAGTATGCGAGATGCCATTTTTATTTATGTAATCTAAACCTATATATCTGATTTGAAAACAAAAATCAAAAACCTTAAGTTAAAGAAAGAGAAACATCATGGCAAAAAAGAAAAATATTAAGCAAACAAAACACTGAGATGAAACATGAACTTCACCAAAGGTGATCTGGAAGGGTAAGTACTTTTCTGCATCACCAGTGACAACCATCGTGTTGCTAAAGGGAAGTTAAAATTCGGTGGATTACATTTACATCAACATAAAATCTCTTTCATTTCTCATTGGATGAGTAATTTGGTCTTGATCTCCTCAGATATGTTTAAAGAAATGACTTATAAACCTTTTATAAATAGCTGAATAAAGATGAAAACTTTCACAATATTAGAATTACAAATATTCTTTACAGGAATTAAACAACTTTCAGAATGTGGCGGGATGGAAAATGGAATTGGTTTAGCAGTCTTTGGACAACAAACAAGACTTATACAAGAAGCAACAAATGATTATGAATTAGTTATGGAATTGATTGGTAATATCAATAACATATATATAATATCTTAATAAATTGCATGTCGAAGCAATTGTTCAAAAGGTAGTTTGATGAACCAATTTGGTTTTTGTTTGTAACTGAAAGGATAAAAGATGCTTTTCTTATCAAGTTTGACCATGCATACTTTTCTGTTTGAATATGCATACAAAAATATTTGTTGTACAGTGGTTTTTATGAATAAAATGAAAAATTAGCCAACAATACAACCAATTATTTAATCAAGCAAAACGTCCATTGTTTTAAAGAATTATACTTAAAATCAAAATAAACTGTTTTGAACAAACAATTACCCTGGCCTTTAAGCTCGAAGAAATGAACAGTCCTTAACTTTCTGTCTTTCATTGTTTTGTTTGGTTATGACTTCGGTAGCCTTAATTTCAAAATGTTTAATACGTTTATACATCATACTATTTTATTTTTGTTGCTTAAAAGTAAACAGGAAGCTTCAGGATACACGAATCTCTTCAATATCAGCTGTTGAACGTTTAAATCACTTGAGTGACATTAATTGTCGAAATTCGCATCTTGTGCAGTAAAATTTGTACCGTTTAAGTTATTGTATTAGAATTATTTTATTCATGCCAAAGGAAAGCTAAGGCCAGATGGAGATGCACCTGTCTTAGCAGGACTTCTAATGGGTTACGCTGGTGTTTCGTCGTGTAAGTATCAATTGTGTAAGTATAAGTTTTAATTTAATATAAACTATGAGTTAGTTTCAGGATATCAGCCTGGTTTTTTTTAGACGTGTACTATATTACTTATAATACCAAATTATCAAGTTATTAATTTCGAAATCACAACTTAGACCAATTTGCGATATTACGAAATTCGATATCATAGATTGGCATTAAAATTTATTAGATTTTACTACAAAATGCATTTTTTCTGTAATTGCTGTAACATTGTATCAATGGTTTTTGATAATTTCTAAATTCTAATCTTAGCGTCATCTGACAAGTATAAACAATACATTATTAAGTCATGTTCAGTCTTTCAGACCTTATCACTGCTTTAAAATCAGTACAGTTCAGACATTTTGCTTGCATTCAGTTGAGTTCTGTTGAGTAGATTTCAAACATTTAAGTATGATGTTTATGTGTACAAGTAAACAACAACTACTGAAAAGTCAGAATATAGACTGAACCCATCTTTATGGACTGCATGCAAAATTGTATATAAGAGGGGCGAAAGATACCAGAGGGACATTCAAACTCATAAATCGAAAATAAACTGACAACGCCATGGCTAAAAAAGAAAAAATCTCTTGGTTTAATACAGTACTTAGTTTACAGCATTAAATCCATCTGAAATTGACTAAAAGTCTGAAAAATGACTTAATACTCTATGTCAATAATGTATATCTCAATCTCTTTATACCTATGTTGTGATTCTTTCAGATACATTTCTGGTTTTTGCCTCTGGCTAGAAAAAAAAGTTGCTCTTTAGGGCTGTGTACAAAATTTGATATCCCTTAATTATAACCAGATATCACCTCAAATCAGAGTTTTATTGATTTATTCATGCATTATTTCAGATTAAAGTTTTCTGTATAGTATAGACTTTAAAATACGAATAGATACCTCATGATGATCACCAAGTACGATTTGGAAGAATCAACAATCAAAAGATGAATATTATATCACCAATGTTTAATGGTTCGCTGGTTTGTCTTAAGCACGTTCTCGTCCTCCCTAGGTATTTTTCGCCTCATTTTGTTATTAAAGTTTACATTCAAATTAATCTTGTACCTGTTTAATATGATTTTCAAATGAAATGTGTCTCCCAACAAAACAATCAGTACCTTCACTTTGATATTTGACGATTGTTTTTAGCTTCAACAGAAAATTAGGGATATATATGTCTTTTATGATGGACAAGTATCAACTTATATTTGATTTTATCTACATTTGTATTAACTTTTACACATAGGCTTATTACCTAGCAGTACCAGAAACGTTCCGATACAAGCAAATATGATTGTTTTCACTAATGGATCGTCAGAACAGTGTAAAGTTTTACCAGAAGATGAACAAATTTCTAATTTGGATTTGAGGAATCTTCCAGTACGTATGTACAAATTTTTAATATTTTTTCAGCCACAACTTTCATATTTTGTTTTGCAGGACCATTACTGTTAGATGTACAAGTTGATTTCTATATTTTAGCTGCATCGTACCGAGTCCGTATTATTAAAGAGAGGCGTTAGATACCAAAGGGAAATTCAAATTTTTTAGTATCCACATCTGATTCACGCCACCTCTAGAAGAATAGATAGTTTCACAATAACTTTGAAGCCCGGCTTTAATTGTAGAAAACATTGATGTAAATAATTTAGAAATAGCTTTCGTGGAGCACTTGGAAGACCCAGCAATATAACTTTGTTTGTAATGACACTAGTTTAGGTATCCAATACAATGATGTAAGATCTAGTTCTTCATCTTTGGTTGAATCATAAAGGAACATAGAACAGACCTATGATTATCCAAGATTTCCTCTTTGGTAAGTATATTCGCAAATTACTCTAAATCAGAAAAATATGATTTTATATGTAAAAATATTTATTGTTGATTGCCATAAAGAAGAAGACGGGTTAATGGATATAAACTTGATTAAATGATTGTTTGTTTTTGTTGACGATTAAAGTTTGGAGATATTACTCAACTTTTTACTTAAAGGTACCATCTGATATTAATGCAGTCATTGACGAAATTACTGCTTCCAGTACAAAGATATATTATGTACCTATTGGCAGACATCAGTGCAACAATGTAAGAACTATTCAACATCAATATGTTGATATTTCTATATCGTTATGTTGATATAATATATATAAATACTAATATTCAATCTAGCATCATGTTTCAGAAGTTGTGCTCACCTATTATCCCTTACTTTTAACATTACACTTTTGGTTATTATATTTATCTAGATGCATATTTCCTTGACGGTGATGGATTTGTGAAATAGAAGTCTTTTTTTGATGAAGAACATTTTTTTTTAATTCGACAATAATAATTTCATTTACAAAATAGCTGTCTATATTTTGTTTTTTTCGCTGCTGACTTTAGGATTCTCAATATGATTGCAAGTACTTGCATGTATTTAAGAATTCATCCATTGGCAGATAAAATCAATTTATTAGAATTTGCATATAAACATTTTGAATGTTTGAAAATAAATTGAGTATTGTAGTTTATAAAATTTTTGTTAATTCATCGAAACTTTTGCGACTCAAAACAAGCATGTGTAAGGAAACCTTACAAAGTACAAGACTTATTCAAGAAAAATAATTATTAGTTATGAAAAGGCTAACTGATCATTTTTTTTAATTCCATACCAAACAATTCTTAACTTGTAGTTTTTTAAATGTACACACGATTCATTTTTTTTTAAAGTAACTCATCTTGTAACACGCAACCCTGAAAGTTTCGGCACAACGAAATGCCCTTGCAATATTTCAATTCAGGTATACAAAACTTATAATAATGAGAACGTAAATCAGAAATATTTGCAAGACCAAAAATTAAACTTTTAAGATAAGAGCCAATTTCTGGTTGTTTATTTAGAGGAAATGGAACTGGGGAACTCCAGAAGAAAATAAAAACATTCAGATTTATTATAAAGCTATCAAAATTATTTGGCTATTTGAGTTCAGCAAGTATGGGATATTTGTTTTTGAATTTAAGATGACTGAGTTAAATAACTGTGAAATATTATGTATTTTCAGATTTTAGAACATGCTGTAAGACAGACAAATGGTAAAATGATTCAAGTAAATGAAATGAACCGCTTGATCAATATGACACAAGTTATGGTATGGATACTTAGCGTTTATGTTGGAGTCCATCGGTCGGCTTATATAGTTAAATGAATATTTGATTAAAGACAGTTGTTCAAATCGATATGAAATGATATATTGAAATATGTCCATGAAGTGTTGGAATAAATGACAAATTGCAATGACGATGCAGAAGAAACATCGCAAATCATTAGATTGTGTTTAAATAATTCGTGTAAATTAACAATACTAGTATACAATTCAGGAGTGCTTCATTTCAAAAGACATAAAATAATTTACCATACGCCATATACTAGTATTTATTTTCAATACGTAGCAAACAACAGAAACCACTGAAATGCATGCGCCTGACCGTTTGTGTCATAATGACATCGTGTGTGTTGACGACTTTTGTTCTTTCCCCAGTTTTGCATGTTGTAAGATAACAAAATATTTCGTATGTTTCTCAACCTTAACATTGTATGATTTATTCATAATCACTCCGTGTTACTTCACATGCTTTTATATAATGCATATTTTTTTACAGCAGGTTCGAAACTTTTCGGACAACAATTATGAGGATAATTGTATCTTCACTTCATAAAAAAGCTATACTGAGGCATAACCAATTGGGAAACATTTCAAATGAGAATATCACATGTCTTATTTATAGTACAACAATGAACGAAAAACACTTATTGCAATAAACAACAATCGACAACCGCTGAAAAACAGGTTCCTTGCATGGGACAATCTCATAAAGATTATGGCAAGGTTAACATGTTTGGGAGCGCTCAAGCCTCCTTACTGGGAAGTGTAGTGATAACAAAATTTAAGAATAAACTTTAATAATCAGCTTAAAAAGGCTTAACTCATCCCATCGAAAAACAAAACCCACAAAGTACCGCTCTACGAGTACTCACAGTCACTGAAAGCTAGTTTTGGACCAAATTTTAACTAATAAAGAAACCATATTCTCCCAGACAAATTATGATAATCTTTACACATCTGACGTCATAAGTAGACCAAGAAGAGCAAAATTATGTAAAATACAAACATATAAGTTTCGGTAGAATGTAGGACCAAGAAATGTTAACACATAGATATTTACGATACATATTAACATTCAATTAATGTAAGTACAATACCAATACTTTTCAAAAGATCTTACTTCACTGCTAATTTTATAACCTTAAAAAATGCGTTTATTAAAAGCATCAATAATGACATACGGATTGTATCATTATATACGAGTTATATACATTATTTCCCCGTATAACTTATGATTTTGTTACTGATTTTTTTAAGATATTCAATGGTACAACCAACTACCTTGCCAAATTTTTGTTTTGGTTACAAAATCCATTATTTAATGATATTTGTGTTTTAAAACTTGTTTCATTAATTTAAATCTAAAACAAATGGAAGCAAAGAAAAATCCCACTATGGAACGATGAATTGTCTCTTTGCTGTAAATTTTTATATAGAGTTTCCCGTTTGTAAATGAAATATTCAAATAAATAAAAAAGACAATATTATCATGTGCTATTTCATCTTTTATAATACGTTAATTATGATAACTTGCTGCAGTCTTATTAAAAATTCTTGATGTTTTTAAAGAGAAACATATCCATATGTAACGGTTAGTGTCACTACTTTTCAGTTGAATTGAATTAAAACAGATCTTTACCGCATTTGGCCATTCACCGCGACTCATAACAATACATGTCCTGAGACAAGTCTGCTATTAAAGGATTACATGCGCATTTGAAACACCAATTGAACAAAGCTTTCTAAGATATCAACTTTGGAATTTGTAACCCCGTTAAGTTTGTGATTATTTACATTTCCCAGATACAGATTAGGAAACTAAAACATAAGTTAATATATATATATATATACAACAGTGCAAATATTGAAAATGGTCAATGTCATGATTTCAGTGTTATATCTCAACTTCTATGTACAACTCTAAATAATTATGTTTTTTTCGGTAATATATAGGCAAAATGTTTTCATTTTTGATTCCTGGAACTTTACATAATTTTTCAAAGACTTGAATGATGGCTTAATTGTACAATGCTTATATACATTGCTACATTTAACAAATGTCTGTACTTAAATCAGTAGAAAAAAATATACTAACAATGAAACCTCTCTCTAAATTATTCACATCTATTTTATCAGCAATCAAAGCTGGGCTCCAAGGTTATTGTGAAACTGCCTATTCTAGAGGTGGCGTGAATCAGATGTGGATACTAAAAAATTCCAAAGATCTTTTAGAGTACATACAATCTAAGACTCTCTCATCTTGCAATAGTATTAAAACATTTGACTTTTCTACACTTTACATAAGTATTCCCCATTCCAAACTAAAGGACAAATTGAAAGAGTTGATATTACTTTGTTTCATTAAAAAGAATGGCGAACGTAGATACAAGTATCTTGTCTTGGGGAGGGATAAATCCTACTTTGTAAAGAATCACTCTGATTCAAACAAAAAATTCTCTGAAACTGACATTATCAAGATGCTTGATTTCTTGATTGACAACATATTTGTTACGTTTGGAGGACGTGTTTTTCAACAGACTGTCGGAATTCCAATGGGAACCAATTGTGCCCCTCTTCTTGCCGACTTGTTTCTTTTTTATTATGAGGCTGACTTCATACAGGAACGTCTTAGGAAGACAGATAAAAAGTTAGCAATATCCTTTAACTTTACGTTCCGCTATATAGGTAATGTTTTATCACTAAATTATACAAAATTTGGTGACTAGGTCGAACGAATCTATCCCATCGAACTAGAGACAAAGGATACTACAGATACAGTTAAGTCTGCCTCATATCTTGATTTACATCTAGAAATTAACAATGAAGGTCGGTTGAAAACCAAACTTTACGACAAAAGAGATGATTTCAGTTTCCCAATTGTGAACTTTCCATTTCTATGTAGCAACATTCCAGCAGCGCCTGCATACGGAGTATGTATCTCCCAATTACGTCAATATGCGTAATAGATTCTCCATAGGCGGTAATGTTAACGTTTTCTTCTGTTGCTCAGGCCATATCGTAAACTTGGATATGTATGATGGCTCATTTTGAAGCTCAGACACTTGCACATGTGTGGTGCGATTTTCGGGGTGGCAAGTGTGATTTGTTTTCCCGTCAAGTGCCCAACCCCGAAAGATAGTGAAAAATGTCACTCTCCTCAGGAAATAATCCCAAAATTCTGACCATAAAAATCATTAAAAAATATGTCCTTTGTAATTATTTGTTCAGGTTTATTTTTTTATACTTTTTTTCACATCACATCAGCTCTATAAAACACCAGTCCTAGTTCATTTATGTCAATTTTTAAAATCACAGCTTCCACAATTGTATGGCGGACTAATTTTTTAATGAGAGTCATAAATCTGTGTTCCTCATCTCAAGGTCCATTAGGGATATTGACCTATATTAGATCAGCTAATGTCAGATTCCACTTATATTGCAGTTTGTATCCCTTTAGTACACATTTTTGAACAATTCTGTGAAGTTTTAGCCATATCTGAAATAAAATAAGCTCATTTTAATACTTTTAGGTAGCAATGTTTATAACTGTTCAATATCCTTTTTAAGGAAGAAAAAAACACAATAAGCATATGTTACAAATTTACATTTTAAACATTTGTTTTAACTTTTATTGGTATAACTGCAATTCATAAGCCTCTTCTTCCTTACAGACTTTCTACAAATCCTCATTTTTTGTTGATAAATCATGTAAATATAGTGTTTTTCACTTAAAAACTATCAGATTTAAGAAATTTTTCCACCCTGATAGTCTTGTTTTCTATTATATTTTTTTTTTATTGAATAAATATCTCTATTATATGTTCATTACTGTAAAGATTAGTCACAGACCTTTCAAAAACTAGTCTTGTTTTCAAAATCCATCAAGGAATAAGAATTTTAGAGGTTTTTTTTGTATGTGTGTTGAAAGTGGGAAAAATGGGTTATTTCTTTGGTAAAGAGTACATTGTGACGTCATTGTTTTTGTGACGTCATTGCATTATGACATCATAATTTAGAGTTGTGCACATCTTACAGAGTGAATTGATTTTGAAACATGAAAGGCAAAAAGAAACGAAACAAGTTTAAGGTTGGTAACCAAGCATTTTTATCCCGTTATGATTCCCTAGCAACAAATCAAGATTGCAATGGTGTTGCTCCATCTTCAGCTCCATCTACACAGGTTTAAAAAAAATCATCTATGCAAGTATCATCTGCATCATCTAAACATGAATTTCCTCATTCAACTAAAATGTATTGCCAAAAACACCCACAGAATCCCTCTGGTTACCCCGCCTTACTGAAAAGGATTTCAAATTTTATTCTAAAGAAAGTTATGATAAGAAGTCATATGTAGCACCTCAGACTGAAAAGAGTGCTACTACGGTGAAACTCCTTCGTCTATATAAAGTGTCTGATGACTATTTGAGTGAATATTTAGGGGATAAAAATACAGAAAATAGAACAGTGGATAGAGATTTAAACATTTTAATGATGAATAATCTAATAATTTGTCATATAAATCAAAGTCCACATTGTAATGTTCCTCCTTTTGAACTTGTGCAAGAGACTCAGTGGGGTCTCGGTTGGATTTGGGAACTAAAATGTACAAAGTGTAAGTTTATATCAGAAAAATATAAACTGTTTAGAGAAATTGAAAGTGGGCGTCCTGGCCGCAAGCGTGCCAGCATAAACTATGGGTTTCAGACTGGTGTTATAAACTCTAACATAGGTAATGACAGCGCGCGCGTACTTTTGACTAGTTCGTGTATCCCTCCTATGGCAAGAACAACAATGCAAAGAATAACCAATAATGTATGTGACAAGGTTGTTAAACTTGCTGATGAAGAAACTAAAAAAGTTGTTGAGAATGTTATAAGGAGAAATGAAACCTTGGGGTTAAATAAAAATAATTCTTATATGATTTGCATATTAAGGAATACGATGATATGATTGGTCGAGACGACTTTCGGTAGTTGATCTTGACGTTGTTTATTTTTCGATAGACGACGTTGACCGAACTTATTTTCGTAACCAATGTAAACAAGATGGCGGCGAAAAAAACACTTACATTAACAAAATTTATTTTCACTGCACGTTGATCGCGTTAAATTGAATTGCAAATTTCATTGAGTACATATTTTTGCAATAACCAACAAGTATATTCATGCGCCAGGCCTATTCAATGACACAAATAAACAATTTACTTGTGATAGAGGTTACGAGTGTGGAAAAATATATTCCTTATCTCCAATTTTCAAGAATTATAAGCATTAAACGCCTTTTTAAAGGAATTTATTGGTGTATAAACTGGACCAAGTCACTCACAAAACATATCATATAAGTCCTTCGGACTTTTATTTGTTTGTGAGTGAATTGGTCGAGTTTATACACCAATAAATTCCTTTAAAAAGGCGTTTAATCCTATAATAATCCAATAAAATTACAAATGGATGGGACTTACCAGAGTATTTATATTAAAAGTAGACATAAAATGGGCCAAAATGCCTCGCAGGCAATTGGTATTGCCTGTGAAAATGAAACCAACAGTCATGATGTAATAGGTTTTCACTTAGTAAACAAACTATGCTGGGTCGGTGCATGGTTACGCGGTAAAGGTTATGATGTTGAATGTCATAACCATGAGCATTGTACAGCAAATACTAATAGGTATGATCCTTTGAGTGAAAAGGATCCGGGGTATGAAATAGGTAAAACAATTGCCACAAATGATTTACTTGTAGATTATTGCACTACTGATGGTGATGCAAAAAGTGTGAAAGGTTTACAAGAGGTAATGCAAGAAATATTTGGTCCTTTATGGTCGGTAAATAGACTTGCCGATACAATTCATAGGGGTCAAAGTCAGTTCCGTGAAGGAATCCGAGCAAAATTTAGTGTCGGCATGTTCCCTGGAGTAACAAAAGCCCAGAAAAATGATATAAAAACAGCTTTTGTCAATGATATAAAATTAAGGTCACATGGTATAATGAAATCATTATTTATGAAGTATAATGGTGACCGACAAAAAATTCAAAATGCTTGCCTGGTATTGTTCGGTCTGTGGTGAATTGCTACAGCTGTAATTACGGTGATACATGTAGATGGAGCATAACACTTTGTAATGGTGGTAAAACAACAAGCTGGTGGTATAAATCTATAAACATTAATAGTCATGGCTTGCAAAATGGGTCTCTGATACCAACTGACAGAGACAGAATATTGATAGAATCTTTGCTAGAAATGAAACTCTCTCAGAATGCGTTAGATCATATGAAATTTTTCAGTAATACTAATAGAACTATTTCCACATACCTACCCAAAAATAATAATTTCTCCCGCAATGCCATAGGTCGTGCATCTGCAGCAGTCTTGAAAGTAAATAATAATAGAGATGTTGCCTTGGTTAAAACTCTGAAAGCTGTTGGCTGCACAATGGGTAAAAAGTCTCGTGCTGCAGTAGCTCTGAAAACAAATACGTAAACTTAAAATATATGATTGTGCATATAAAAAAAGTTCAAAAGTAAAATATCGAAGGGTACAGGCTCGTAAAAGGCAGGCTATTAATATTCTGCTTAATAAAAGTAAGCGAAATTACGGGTACAAAAAAACATCAGTTAGAACCAAAGCTTAGTCAGATAACTAGCTGCAAAGAATTTGTTCCACAGCCTGGTTGTAGTTTTTGGCTAGATTAACAAGGTCACAATTTCCATTTTTCTTTCAGCAGTATTTCAGGAAATATTACAACATGTTTCAATTTATTTATTTATTTATTTTCAATGATTACAGGGATTAATAAATGTCATTTAAATTATTGTGATGATAAATCAAAATCTTTTTCAGTAATATGCATGTGCATGTTGTTTTGAGTTATTTGTATTTTTATAATAAAGAGTTTGTTTCATTTTAACTGTTTTGAAAATGGGATAACGGTCCAAGACATTAAAACATACCACACACAGCATCATACATGCAAATTAACACACATGTATTGCATAAAAATTTATTTTTCCTATCATGCACACATTCATTGATACAACATACAAGGAAATAAAATAAAATAAAATCATGTCCATATTTACTTCCATTTGCAACTATTTCAGTTCTGTTAGCTTTTTATTTTACTTTTGATATCCTAATTTTATAATTTTGTAGTTTTTGTTTGGTTTTTATATTGAAGATTTCTTTTAAAGCATGCTTACTTTAGTTGGTTCATGTGGTTTGAATGTCTCAATTTCCTGACACAGTTAAAAATACATTTGTAAACAACAAGAGTTACTCCCCCACCTATGTCAATAAAAGGTAAACACTCGTGAAACAAGCCGTAAAATGTGTTACCTCAGATTAATATAAACATGCATGTTTGTTTCAGTGTCTTGGAGGGTGAGAGGGAGGGCTTTTATCCTATTTTCATTTTTTTAGCAGTGTAAGAAACTTGTATTTGAGTAAATGATTCATGCATAGTGAAGTGTGCAATATGTCACCTCGGAGACTTAAATTTTAAAATTAAAAATAGAACAAACCACAGTTTAAGATGCAACATGCAGTTAGGATATGTTGTGCCATCCAGTTCATGAGTGGTGCATTTTTGTGAAGTTACACAGACCTTACGGTGGTAATTTACATCATGGGGCTCAAAAATTATATGGTCAGCATTAACACACAAGGCATTTTGGCAGAGGTGCGAGGCATCTAAATTTCTATCAATGTCAATTGTTTTTAACTGAAACATTTTTGCCAAGCGTGCAACATTCATTTTTGTCCTTTTTCCATTTAGATAAGCCACATTTCGCATCCCTAAAATATAATTTTTTTTCCTCTGAATGGCCCCTGTCCAGATTTTACATGACCCAATTTCTGCATCAATGCTATTTAACAACAAAAAAATAATATATTTTTGATAAAAATCGAACGTTTGGAAAGCCATTTTGTATTGTTTTGATTATTTAGCACTAAAAGAGTGTAACTGACCTTGAGTTCAGCAGCTATCATCCTAAATTGTGGTCACTGGGCCATGAAACACTCCATCACCTTTGAAACTCAAGGCCACAAATTGGGGCAATATGCGTAATAGATTCTCCATAGGCGGTAATGATAACGTTTTCTTCTGTTGCTCAGGCCATATCGTAAACTTGGATATGTATGATGGCTCATTTTGAAGCTGAGACACTTGCACATGTGTGGTGCGATTTTCGGGGTGGCAAGTGTGATTCGTTTTCCCGTCAAATGCCCAACTCCGAAAAATAGTGAAAAATGTCACTCTCCTCAGGACATAATCCCAAAATTCTGACCATAAAAGTCATTAAAAAATGTGTCCTTTGTAATTATTTGTTCAGGTTTATTTTTTTATACTTTTTTTCACATCACATCAGGTCTATAAAACACCAGTCCTAGTTCATTTATGTCAATTTTTAAAATCACAGCTTCCACAATTGTATGGCGGACTAATTTTTTAATGAGAGTCATAAATCTGTGTTCCTCATCTCAAGGTCCATTAGGGATATTGACCTATATTGATATGATATTCCAGGGCTTGTATTTCCTATCATGATTTCCTTGATAGAGGATTGCTGCTCACGAGGAAGCTATCAAACCAAGAGTTCCAAATGGTGAAGTTGAAATCATCCCTTCGTAAATTTTACGGACGCCATCACGAGTTGGTTGACCGTTATGGAATAACCGTTTCACAGATGATATCGGATATTTCCTTATGTCGTAACTACAATACCCTTCCCTTTTCACGAATGTGACCTACCAAATTAGACTATTTACCGGATTTGTAATAACATAAGCAACTCGACGGGTGCCACATGTGGAGCAGGATCTGCTTACTGGAGCACCTGAGATCACCCTCAGTTTTTGGTGGGGTTCGTGTTGCTTAGTTTTAAGTTTTCTGTGTTGTGTCATCTGTACTATTATTTGTCTGTTTGTCTTTTTATTTTTGGCCATGGCGTTGTCAGTTTGTTTTCGATCTATGAGTTTGACTGTCCCTCTGGTATCTTTCATCCCTCTTTTATGATATAAATGCTCTTTTCTAATGTGCAATATTTAGATATTTACATTACAGCTACTGGCTATAGGCATAGCAGCTGATTTGCGCTATTCAGAAAATCAAAGCAGAGAAGTCATCAGGATGAAAATATCAGATGCATCAAATTTTCATGATATCAATGTAAGTTTTAGACATTTAGTTTGTTAACATAATGTCAATGGGAAGTACTATGTGACAAAGAATATCATTTAAGTATGTTTCATAAAATAAATTTTCGCTCACGTCGATGATTTTATAGCTTTTTATTTCCTAACTTAAGACCTCGAGCTTTTAGCCGAATTATTTACAAGGAATTAATTTTGTATTAAGAAAAAGCTATTATGCATATTACATGTAGGACTTTAATAAACCTGATTACGGACCCATATAAATTTGAAAAGAATATCATTTTGCTTGGCATTGTCAGTTTGTTTTCGACTTATGAATTTGAATATCCTTTTTGTATCTTTCGCTTCTCGGGACAATCTTCTAATTGCTGAACCTGGCGTTCAAAGTTCATATCAGCTTATGTTAGTTTTTCTACGGAATATCTTGTATAAAGTATGTCTCGTACGAATAAAGGACCACGTCGACTAGAAGAGAAACTCATGTTGGAGTCATAGAAGATATCATGACTTACACATATGAATTGACAACGACGGTTGGTAAAGAAACTAAACTTTACGACAAGAGAGATGAATTCAATTTAACTCTCCATTGCTTTGAGGTTACATACCATGAGCTCATGCAATTGGAATATTTACCTGCTAGATGATGCAATATTCAAGAAGGTTGTGTTTCCTAAGACAATTTTCGTAATAGAGGGTTGATGCATAACAGGAATCTATTGAGCTAAGGCTTCCAAATAGTGATGATGAAGTCATTCCTTTCGAACGTTTGACGGACGCTATTATGATCTCGTTGACATTTATGGAATCTCTGTAACAGATGACAATGGATATACTCAAGTTGCCATAGTCACAATTTTAACCGTTTGTGATCGATTGTTACATAACTGAGTGCGATTTATCATCGAAATGTTACTTGAAATGAGTAACCGAACGGGTTCAAATTTTTACAAAGGAACTTCTGAAAATTATGTCTTTTGAGTTCACTCCTGGTTAATGTTGTTATTTACCTCGTATATCATTATTCGTAAACATTTCTGCATAAACGTACTACAGGGTTAATAAACGACTTTTATTTTTTGGCAGTCTTGCATTACCAACTTAAAGTTGTTTTGAAAATGCCAACGTAATTGGTATTTTTCGAAAAGAGTGAAAAAGACGAATTAACTCATAAGAAAGAGGGAAGTAACTTAAATTAAAATGATCAAAGAAAAAAAGCTCATAATTGAATGGAAGAAGTAATTTTCAATACTGCATCATGATGACAGCTGTCGTTGGATTTCATGTTGCAACTTTTTCTGGTCCGTTTGACAACTTCGTGACTTAATCCGATTTACGAGCCACATCCTGTCCACAACCTGTCCATTGAACAAGGGTGAGCCATTCCCGCCACGTGACGTTAGTAGTCTGTTCGCACCTGCCATGAAAGCACTCAGTTGGCCAACTGAATATGTGAAGAGAGATTCAAGTTTTTTTATTGTTAAAATGTGCGACGTTTTTATTCAAGTAGTATCTCGGATGTTTTTTTATGCTGGGAATTATATGTTCGGTTCTGACATCATTTATAACACACTATGGTAATGCAAATATTAATATAGGTCGTGCCACAATTGACAATAAATGATAATAACTTTTTGAGTTGAAAATTTACAGAATAACAGCTTCAATATAAAAAAAAATATCAAACATATACAGTCATTCCTTCGTTTTTTATATTGTTGTAACAGAATAAAAAAACAAGTTCAATATTTCTATTACCTCATCCATTTCCTTTCGTGCATAGAGAGAGAGGCTTAATATTTTAATGCACCGTTGCTTACCCTCTTATGAGTTTTTGCGATGAACGTATGTTTTTAAACTGATTTTCATATTCAAAATAGATTTACAAGTTTGTGACTATTAGTAAACTACGGTTGCCTCTAATTTGAGCAAGTAAATATATGAAAAAATATAAAAAAAAAAAAATTGATTTGATTACCTGTCTTTATTTGAAACAATCTAATAACCCTCCGAAATTAAGCTCATAAAGAATTGTAAATTTTCTAGACTCCAATGAAAGGTCATGAACCTGCTGTTCCGTGAGTTTTCTTTGACGATTTAAAAATTTTGGAAAAGAAAACAAAACTGCAGAAAGATTAAAATCAAAGTAGATGTTTAAATTGTTTTTTTTTAGGAAGACTGTTTAGATATGGTAATAGAATTCAGCAACCCTTTAAAGTTTTGTAATATGCGAGGTGAATTTGTGGAGTTAAAGTTTAACACACTCAAACTAGGAGATAGAGTAAGACGAGGACCGTATTGTAGATGCAAAAGTGATGATTTAGGTCTTGCAGGAACAGTCATTGGACAAGATCGAGACGGTAAGCACAACTCCTTTTAGAAAATACATACGTTATTTAAACGAAAAGACTACTAAGATCACCAGGTGTCAGTCATCCATTGTTTAATAAAATTTATACATTTCTCGGAAATAATGTGCATTGAATGCAACGGTTAGTCAATGAAAAGGTATATGCTATGAAATTTGGTGCGAAGTGCTTTGCCTCGGGCACCTAGTTTCATGGTATAGGCCTATTCAGTTGACTACCCAATTTAGCACATATTTAGAACTCGAGTCATATTATAATTTACCTAATGATATTCGATTTTTCCTGACAATTAGTTTATTAAGTATTTGTAAACAGAAGACAATACAGAGGTGTCATTAAATACATTCTGTTCATGTTAAATGTACTTACTAGTATCAAACCTGTCATATTTGTGGCAGTGATTTACCAGATCTTGAGATTATAAATGCAGCAAACACGGATTAAAACTTCACGGTTTAGATATTAATCAAAAATGATAGTTGGTGATTTTAAAAGGCCCTTAACTCCAGAATGTAGCTTATGGTGTGGGTATGTATATGGAGATAAAGAAAATAAATTGACTAAAAACTGGCATAGATAATCTAGTAGCAGTAGGCGTTATACGTGATTTGAAAAATATATATATCAATTTCACAGTACAATAATGCTATCTTAATATATAAAAATAAAGATATGTGTGAACCTTATATAGGCATTAGCAAATCAGCTATTATTAGATCAATTATTTATTTTTTTTAATTTCACAGTGAAAACATTAAGCTATTTAAAGTTATCCTGATAAAGATATAGGTCGCGCATTTTCATCAGACCTTATATGTTTGCTTTTATGATTGGGTTCCTCAAACACGTTCTATAATAGTAATCGTCATCATAATAAATTTCTGTGACATTATCATTATTTTTTTTCTCAAATGTATTTCCAACTTCGAAAGATACATTAGGGACATTCAAAGTCGAAAATAAACTTACAACGCAATGGCAAAAAACATAAGAGCACATAAGACAAACAACAGTATAAAAACACAACATAGAAAACTTAAAATGAGCAACACGAACACCACCAAAAACCGGTGGTGACTTTCTGTCTTATTAACATATATGTATGAAAACCAAAGATTTTAATAGTAGAATAAGTAAAACTCATTAATACATTCAACAAATTTTGGATACAAAATTCATTCCGAAATAGCCGGTGGCATTTATTGTTCTATCATCATGATTACAATACAAAGCAATATCACCCTTGTTGTCAACACTGCAACGTTAGTTAGTACACAGAAAAAGTATTGTACTACGGAACTTAAAAGGAAACTAAACCATCGGACGAGAAGTTGTGAGTGTGTTTCAACATCGTTTATTAAAAATGTCGTGCTGTAAACATTGTCATGTGAGGCAATTATTGATAGGTTAAATTTAAACCTAATTCTTTTTTCCATTACTATAACTTCAAATCATTTTATTTAAATTGTGATTTGGAATTTTTATATAAATAATCCTCATTTCTTGTCGATCGCAAGACATAAATTGCTGCAATCATGCCATGTATGTTCTACTGATTCATATCGTGATTCACATATTCATGTTCTACTTGACAAGCATTCTGACACAAACTTGTATGTTATAATGAATGGAATAAATATTACAAATACTCGTTATTATCGTACAATACATTGTCACCAGAGGGTATTACAAAAATAATGAGGTGAATCCTTTTCATTTAATTTGTGTTTGATGAATTGTCTACACACTTGGCATCCATGATGCCTGTACACAGGTAACTATTGATTCCTAATGGATATCTCAGAAGCTTTACACCAGATCTGCCTTAGCATTACTTTGCACAAGTTCTGTAATAATACACGAAAACAATATCAAAATACCACACCACCAACAGACGACTCGTCCAGAAAAATAACAGACAAACAAACAAAGACAAACAACAACTTATAAATATACGGTCCAGATAGCCCGGCTTGGTACATGTACAACTTATGGTGGGGTTAAACTCGTTTTTCACGGTTAACTTATTCACGTATACAAAAACTTCCCTCTTAACATATCTAAACCGTATGTCGAAAAAAGAAAAAACAAAATTCAAGGCGATTATCTTTGATTTTTAATACAGCTGCAAAACATTCGCACATATACCCTGAGGAAAATCGTAATTTTTTCGGTTAAAATATAAAATTTATTGAATTCCCCAAAAGCGCAGGGGTTATCGCTTCTGATCGTTAGGAGATTGCATAAGTAGTCTTTTATTCATTTACATCGTACAAGGTGATCGATAAGTCTTTAGAGCCTCGTAATTGTTCATCCCAGGTTATTTTAACTGTAGGTAGTTAACAGTACCCTTTATTACACATGAAGCATGGAAACTGACCTATAGGAATATAAAAAAAGCTGCTTTTGTAATAATACAACGTATCAGGAAGAAATCAAATGCTATAAATAATGTTGTACTATCATAACTGAAATTTCAACACCTTCTGTTAAACGTAAACGGAAAAAAAAACAGGCAAAAGATACCAAATGGATGTTCAAACTTATATGTCGAAGACAAACTGAAAATGACATGTAAAAAAACGAATATAAAAAAACATCAAAGGACAAGTAAAAGTATCAAACATCATTTAAAACTAATGAATGAGCGACACAAGCCCCACCAAAAATCGGGGGCGATCTCAGGTGCTCCGGAAGGGTAAGCAGATCCTGCTCCACATGTGACACCCGTCGTGTTACTTTTATAAAATATGTTGATAAGTTATATAAAGTGATAAGGCATCACGCAATAGCGAATTTTGTAATTGACTCTTATGTTACCTTAATACATCTCTAAATTCATAAACCATCGGTCATGCAAATTTTCTTACCGTGAAACGTGACCGAATGTGAAATTTTGAAATCGGAACAAGTTTTTCATTACAAATAATAGACAGGACTATCGCCGGTATAAATAATACAGACATTCCAAAAATAATGCACAATAAAAACCAACAAAAAACTAAAGCAAGAGCAACAGGAACCCATTTTAAACAAAACTAGGGGTGTGAGATAGTGTTTTCACTGTTTTATTCGTAACTGTTTTGTTTTATGCGGTATTCACGTATTTTATATACATATATGGAGTTATTTTCTCTCAGAACGATAGCCCTTTCTTTTGAATAATCAACCCAGCCGATACCAAGTTTCAATGAAATGTCAGTTCATTATTTTCCCTGATTAAAATGCATACTAAAGTTTACTAAAACATTTAACTTATTTAATAGAAAACTTGTGTTGTTGCCAATTTGGGGTTTAATTTTCAATTTTCCAACTTAATGCGTTTTAGGAAGAAACAATTCTTTTAATATTAAGACTTAAATATCAGAAAACGTCGTTAACGCACATTTGATCTTTAAAAAAAAAGTTTTGTTTATTCATCGCTACAATAAAAGTACATTATGAGATAGAAATATATCATGCAAAACGTATTGCAAAAAAGGATACAATCGTATTGATTCACACTATATTGGAAATCGTACTTTGACCTATGCATGTTCGTTTATTTTGTCAAATGTAAAATACGATTGTGTGCTTTCTCCGTGCCAGTTCTTGATTTTTTTATATATATCTTTTACTCTATCAAATGACCAAATATTTTTATTTTCTATAGGAGTACAGCCACTTACTTTAGAATGTGGGGGTTGTGGTTAACATTGTATCATGATTCTCAATTTTTAAAGAAAAGAATTTAATTTCCAGACAGAAAAGAAAAAGATAATTATCTCTACAGTTTGCACCTGTCCTAAGTCAGGAATCTGATGTTCAGTAGTTGTCGTTTGTTGATGTGGTTCATAAGTGTTTCTCGTTTCTCGTTTTTTATATAGATTAGACCGTTGGTTTTCCCGTTTGAATGGTTTTACACTAGTAATTTTTTGGGGCCCTTTATAGCTTACTGTTCGGTGTGAGCCAAAGTTCTGTGTTGAAGACCGTACTGTGACCTATAATGGTTTACTTCTATAAATTTTTACTTGGATGGAGAGTTGTCTCATTGGCACTCATACCACATCTTCTTATATCTATTTGTTATACGACAAGAATAAACATTAAAATATGCATTATCTTTAACATTATTTCGGATATAAAAGTTTTGGTCTCGAGCATAATTGATAAAGGCTATTCAACAAATACGCAAATTGTAATTAAAACTTTTTGAAAGATAAAATGAAAACTCTGTCCTGTACAGATTTGGGTTATCCAATCAACGCATTAGGAATAGGATATCATTTTCAAATAATTTGGTCTAAATTAAAAAAAATAAAAATAGACTTGTCTTGTTGTTTAATTGAACTATTTGATAAATATCTAAGGCGATGTACTGGTAGAATGGGATCATGGATTAGTATGTCCTTATGACTATGTTGATGAAAGGGATGTACAACATATAGTAAAAGTCAATGAAGTTAGAATGCTGGTCGATGAACTGATTGCAGTTGGTTGTAGAGTTGTCAGAGGTAATTAAAATAATGATATCTCATTACAAGTAAGATTCGCGAGTACTTTTGTATTTATTAACATTTCAAAATAATACCAAAATCAAAATTTGTCTTCTTGATATATTTGTTTAAACTAATCAATAACTCGCGAAACTATCCATGCAGAAGAGAAAAGAAGATGGTAATCTGAAATCAAAAAGTTTTCATATATGCAACAACTAATAATTGGGTTAACTCATAGGCCAGGATTGGAAATATGGAGATCTCGATGGAGGCAAAGGAAAGTTAGGAACAGTATTGGGTATACCAGCAGAAGGAAAAGCAGTGGTGAGATTTGTCTATTATCAACATCCATTAATGAACATCAAAGTATCATGTTGACTAGAATTAATGTGACAACTAAAGAAAATTAAAATCAACAAACAGACGAAGTTACATACTAAAACTGATCACAAATATAGAAAAGAAATACGAGTAGTTTGTACATTGAACAAATGGACATAGGATATGATGTTCAAATAACTTTGAAATCAAGCGTACGAACAGGCCAACTACATACTTTAAATGAAAAATGTTGTAAGGTTTCTGAATATTCACTAAAACTCAGGCTTTCCAAACACGGATATTTAAGTTTTCAACTTATCAGCAATTATCGTATCAAATTATTCGAAAGAAAACAAACGGAAATGTAATTTAGTATTTGAATATATTTACATAAACATGTATAAATATAAATGTTAAATACTATGCAAACTTGTAAGACTAACTATTAAATCATCATGATAATAAACAAAAAGTAAGTTTTATGTTTGTAATTTTTTTTTCAAGGGTTCGTTTGAACAATATAAATATGACCCAATGTGACAATGAATTTACTTTCATCGACAATATCTCATTAATATAGACGCAAAAAATATCCATAAACGGCCTTAGAATCTAAATATATTTAACTTTCGAGGACCATTCAAAACATTCAAGCCAGGTCAACATTGCCTCACATATGTGCACAAGACAAAAGGAATAACAGAACACATTAATGTATAGCAACACACCATCCGAATGAGCTATATGAAAAAATATCTATTTACAATGGATTTATATAAAAAAGTTGTTTTATTCGTATCTCGTTTACTGATATAAAAGCGTTGTTTGAAATGAATAAATATAGATGTGGGATATACTTCAATACACTTAAACACAGCGACAAACATAACTAAACTATATCTAGAGAATACCATACAGTCTTAAACGTTCTAAACGATTACCGCGCGTAACGTCACAAGAGGTAGTTCTGATGTTCAGAGAGGAATGTGACTCTCGTTGGGGAATAATATGAAGTTTTAATAATGTCGCGAGGAATATAATAATAAGAAGATGTGATATCATTGCAAATGAGACAACTCTTCACCAGACACCAAATGAATTAAAGTAAGCAAATAAAGGTCACCGTACGGCCTTCCACAATGAGAAAAACCAATACCTAATAGTAAATTATAAAAGGCCCCGAAATGACAAATTTAAAACAATTCAAACGAGAAAACTAGCGGCCTGATGTATGTACAAAACAATAAACGAAAAAAACCAATATGATTTACAGCAACAAACGACAACTACTGAATTACAGGCTCCTGACTTAGGGCAGATACATACAGGATGTGGATTAATAAAAGAATGTTGATTTCGCTATCAATTCTTAATTATATAAATGCATTAAAATAATAGTCAAACACTGACTATGTTCTTAATTGGGTTTTTAATTTCTTGGTTTGGTCGTTTCTGATCGAGACAAGTGCTTCGAATGCACCAACGTGGTAATGTGTTATTTTCATTTCTGTGAAAGTCTTATATATATGTGGTGGAATTATACTTGACCTTTTCTTTTATCTCAATCTTCCCTTCTTATATTTCTGAACAATCGACTAACAAAACGTTCAAAAAGAACATAATTTTAAATTAGTACAGTTAAAGCACAAACATTACGATATAAAAGAAAACAACAACAACAAAAACAAAAAACATAACAATACAGAAGAAAACAATAAAAAACAACAACAAACACAACACTCGGGCAATTGATCAATAAAAAATACACAATGGTCGAAGTTTCCACTACAAACCAGTAAAAGTCTGAAATGGCCTATATCTGTATGACCAATACTCGACCAGTTCTTGACCATTTTTTTTCAGTCTGAACCATATTTGACCGAAGGTCTGAACCAAACTCGACAAAAGTCTGAACCATAATTGACCAAATAACCTGTACTTTTTTATATTAACTGTTTATATAACTATCCTTTTAACATGACAACAGCCTAAATAAAGTAGATATATTTCAGATTTTTACATCCTTACATGATTATCATATTTATCAAATCGAGATAGCAAAATTATCTAAATTGAAAATGTGAGACTTCAAAAAAAAAAGATTTTCTTTTACCTGAAAACACACCTGTACTGAGGGTAATAAAACTTTATTAAGGTGCTTCTTGTTTGCCATGTGCATTTTTTTTAACAAAACTATTTTTTAACTGACGTAACAACAGCCATCAAAATCACTGAAATTGTTAAACCTTATATCAGAAATATATATATTCGTATTATAATTTGCCATATTTATGTATATTTATCTAAAAGGGATAAAAAAATTAAAGAAATGATTAAAATTGTTCTTCTGTTCAATGGTAAACTATAAAGTAATACCTCCTGATTGGGGCATACTCATTAAAAAGAGCACACCTGGTCAGTGAGTAATAAATCTTAAATAACATCCTTTGAAAATAAAACAACATCCTGTAAAACTTAAATAACAAGGCTTTTTGAATTAACTAAAAAAATAATACACAAGTTTGAAGATAAATAGGATTTTCTTTTTGCCTGTTAAACACACCTGTATTGAGGTAATTAAACTTTATTCGTGTCCTTTTTAGCTCACCTGGCCCAATGTATAAATATAGTTTTTTGCTTATATCTCTGAAACTAAAGATCAAATCTGACGGGATAAAAATGTTTGTCAAGTTTAGATCTATCTGCCCTGATATTTTCAGACGAATCAGACAACCCGTTGTTGGGTTGCTGCCCCTAAATTGGTAATTTTAAGGACATTTTGCAGTTTTTGGTTATTATCTTGAATATTATTATAGAAAGAGATAAACTGTAAACAGCAATATTGTTAAGAAAAGTAAGATCTACAATTAGTCAACACGACCAACATTGTCAATTGACCCCTTAAGGATTTTTTGCCCTTTAAAGTCAATTTTAACAATTTTTCGTAAATTTCTGTAATCTTTTACAAAAATCTTCTCCTCTGAAACTACTGAAACAAATTTAACCAAACTTGGCGAAAATCATTATTAGGGTATGTAGTTTAAACAATGTGTCCGATGACCCCGCCTGCCAACCAACATGGCCGACATGGCTAAAAATAGAACATAGGCTTAAAATGCAGTTTTTGGCTTATATCTCTGAAACTAAAGCAAAAGTATAATGGTTTCATTATCTCATGCATCAATTGTAAACAAAAATATCAGGTGAGCGATACATGCTCCTTGGAGCCTCTAGTTTTAACATAACTCAGTTCTATCAAATTTTTAAATGATAACTACATACAATAGTTACAAAACTATCTTTTTAACATCAGCCAAAAAAATCACTGAAATTGTTAAACCTTATATCTGAAATATATATATTCCTATTATAATTCGGCATATCTGTGTATATTTATCTAAAAGGGATAAAGAAATAAAGAAATGATTAAAATTGTTCTTCTGTTCAATGGTAAACTATAAAGTTATACCTCCTGCTTGGGGCACACTCATTAGAAAAAGCACACATGGTCAAAGAGTAATAAATTTTAAATAACTTCCTTTGAAAATTAAACAACATCCTGCAAAACTTAAATCACAAGGCCTTTTGAATCCACTTGAAAAATAATACACACAGTTTGAAGATAAATAGGATTTTCTTTTTACCTGTACATCACACCTGTACGGTGGCATTTAAACTTTAGTGCGTGAACCCCTGAGGGTTCACGCATATTTATTAGTTAGAAATATAGTCTATGGAGGAATATTCGGAAGCTAAATTATTGTTCATTCGGAACACCTTTTCATCTTATCTGTATTAGCTTCCTGCAATTAAGAGCACCTCCATACGGTGTATCTAAGATATATAAAACATGGCAATAAAGAATTTTCACAGATCGCTAATTCACTTATCTGATATATGATAATAAACAATCTATAGATCCTTTTCAAACATGTATATTTATTGTAAAGCTACAGTTTATGCATTGCAAGGGTTTACTGACTTGAGCAAAGTCGACAGTTGTACCCTTTGATAAACAAGTGAAAGTTAAATGTTCAAGATTTAATTACAATGACCTATGGTATCAAACATCTGTGTCTAGATATTCACAGAGAGATATTTTAAAATAGTGCTGTACGTGGTTTCTTCATAATGAGTTATAGTTGACTTTGGATTTGATTTGTAACAATAAAATCATTATGCACACTTGTCATTTTGACAAATTTGATAAAAAAAAAAATCTGTTTCAAATGAAAATAAAACAAGTAAAATAAAGACTGTTCGTTGATATACATTTTTACAACTTTTTCTGTTTCCTTTTTACAGTATTCTCTATAAATTAAGTTATCTTGTAAGTTAATTAAATGTTTATTTAATTCATTGATGTCACTATTCTTTCAGTGACCGCTGCAGAAGTCTTGACTCGTTCAAGAGACTACTGCATGCACATTAAATTTCAAGTCCCATGTTTTATTTGCACCATGTATAAATGTTATGTACAGCACAAATTATTTCCTTTCTGTTCAAATTATTTTTGGACTTGTAAAGTATGCAAGCGCACACCAAACAGTGACAGGATAGTCAACCAAATGACGGTGGTCACTTAGTGGTAGAAGTAGAAATTTCTTATATTATTCACACACTGTAATGTTCTTAAATTTATGTGTGTTTTGGATGTGCACTAGTGATTGGTAAATATTGATACGTTTCTGTGTTTTTGATATATGTGACTTAACATCAAGAATTCCATTATTATGGAATCGTTCACTTTTGTACACTTCGGTATCTAAATAAAGGGTGGTAAAATGGAGGGTCTGAACACGGAAACACGTGAAATAACAAATCGCAAAAACGTTGCGCGGAAAAAAAACACTCTGGAAAAACGAAGCCAAGGAATCAAATCGTAAATATTAAGGAAAAAAGTACCAAAAGTTATTACTCAGCCGTTCTTGGAGATCATGCAGTCATTATAAATGGACATGGCGATCCTGCATGTGGTCACCTTTTAGCGTCCGTTAGTTGCA